CGCCTACAAATCGCGATTTTTCTCAATGTTAGTATTCCTCGCGCAAGCTAAATGATACACCAATCCATGCAGAAAAGTCTCGCGCATCTTTCTATGCTAGTTTCAGGTTGCGCTCGGGATACTAAAAATTCGAAAGTCTTAAAAAACTGTTTTTACCATTCGATTTAACCATGTTCCCGTCATTTTCGCGCTTTGCGATGTATTAGAGAAATGATCCCCATGCCAAATTAGGTATCGTCACAAGGATTCAGCAAATTCGGTGCAGTAGCTTTCGAGATAGTTTTTCGGGGTCGACTACCTTGAGGCCCGTTTAAACACTAAAAATTAACCTTTTAAACTTTCAAAACTATGCAGCCCTACTAATTCGACTATCCTCTTTCCGATGCCGTCAAAAAAACAGGGTGGAAAAAAAACTGTGCCAAGCCATATTGGGGGCTGTTCGAGTGACTGGCGGACGGCCTTTTAAATGCAGAGGTCGTTCCTTAATGTTTTTAAAAGTGTTGTAAAATGGCGCGTTTGAATAGAAACATGGTTTTGAAAATTGTTGCAAACTGGCCGTTTGAAGGGCTTTCGAATGGTGTAACTATCATCCCGATCCGATATTCTCCATCGAGTAAGGGGGGGGGGGGTGTGTTTGTTTATTGGGACACCCTGTATTATACTAGGAACAGTACTCTTACTAGTGATTTCAATTTAATTTAACTATATACCTAAGCGGAAAAACAATTTCAAATCTAGCTTTTGGATTTCTGGCAAAAAATCGGCAAGTTTTGGGCAAGAAATCTAAAGTTTTTGCATACTCAAAATGGGGAAACAGTGCAAAAACACTTGTGAAGTTGTATTAGCATACACCGAAGTTGAATTTTCGTTTTCCACCGCCCCCCCGCGTAATGCAAAAGCACCTAGTTTTTAATTTAATGCAAATTAAAAAAAAGCTTTTTTGCAAAGATTTTTGCTGCGGGCGGCTTGCATATTTCAATTTAGCAATGGAAAGCCGGTGAGCGCGAGATCGACTCGATTGAATTCATGCTCGACGGTATCGTGGAGGCCGCCGAATTCGATATCTTCGCCTGGGCCCCCGTCATGACGGGTGGGGCTTAAAGGGGCTATTAAATCTGGTCAACGGCCCCCGTGTTGATTTCTGGCAAATAGCCAGATGGCACCGCAACGCGACCCCGCCGCATGATCTTTTGCCCCTGGTTGGACGTGAAAGCGCTTGAATTGCAAAATGCTGCCGCTATTTTTGGAATCCTCATCGAATTTTGAGCATTCTACACTTTTTAATTATGAAAATTGATCAGAGAATCACCGAGATCGAGAGATTGGGTACCTTACAAGGCATTACGACATGTAACCGCCGCCCACTCAAAGAGCCGTTTTCGCCCCGTGAAAATTTTGGTTTTCCTAAAATACTTCGCGTTTTTTCGCAATAAAACAAGTTTTATGACGCTTTTCGGTCGTAACCCTTTCGTTTTGACCACTAGGTGCAATCCCCCACACGCAGGAATTTTGACTTCCGAGCCCTTTCAGAAAAAGCAAAATGTTTTAAGGACTGCGATTGGCGGTTTCGGAGCTGGGGAAGGGACAGCTGGACGCGCTATCCCAGACAATGAACGTTCGGTTCCGGCGTCGTGCGGACGTACGTGTTTTTGGCGAGACGCCCGTACGCCGGTGGAATTTCTAGAGCGACGATGGCCTCTGCGTTGTCGCCACCCTTCGCTTTTCGATTATATTGGCCGGATGCAGCTATGCGTTCCGCAGGTATAATTCGGGGGCGCCTTGGCATTAACGGGGGGGTGCTTATCGGAGGCAAAACCATTTTTTCTATTTTCAACAAGTTTTCTGATATAATTAACAATAGCGTTTTAAATTATTTCTGCTAATCCTAAGCTTAGCTTTTTTCTAAAAGCTCCAAAAATAAATTTTCTATTCTTCAAAAATTTTCTAGCCGGGGTAGTTTTACCTTGGCTGTGGTTCAGATTACCCCCCCCCCCTTTCGCAGCCGGCCCCCACCTACTATATCTCGACAACCCGCTGTTGTAGCGGCCTGTAAACTATACCAAAATACTTGCCAGAGCAAGGCGAACATTTTGGTATACGTTGTACACCTGTAGATGAGCAGGGGGCCGAGATACGAAAGTCGGGTGCCGGCTGGGGGGTAAACTGAACTCTTACCTTTTCCTTTTAAAGATAGTCAAATTACGGCAAAACAATTTTAAAACACTTACCATTGCGTAAATGGGCATTTCTGGACGCAATCGCAACATTTGATTATCACCCAGATACTGCAAAAAAAACCCGAATTCCCAGGCATAACTCACAAAACCTCCACCTTCATCATCGTTTTCCAGCACGCGCACCCCTGCCCAGGAGATGGCCTATATCAACGCCGGACTGAGCCTCACCGACACGATGAAGGAGGTTGAGCGTGAGCGCGGCTGGTCCACGCGCAACACGCTTGAGATGGGCGACGGCCGTCTCTCCCTCGTCGAGTACAACCTCACCCCGCAGGCGCAGGTGGAGTTTTTGGACGCGCTGTGTCGGCAAGGCGGCCTGGGTCATATTACGGATTGCCTTTCGCTTCCCTTTAACTGGTCACCGTCTTCCAGGAACAGGTCAACGCGAAGAGGCTGATCCTCAACAACGCCCTCAGCGCGTTCATCAACGCCTACGGCGACATTCCGCGCCGAGAGCTGGCCCTGGACATGGTAGCAAGGCCAGTGTCAACCACCCACTTCTCTTAGGCCCTCCACATTGAGTTCCTCGAAAACCACATGGAGCAGGGTCTGCTTTGTGTAAGTTGCTTACCGTAAAGTATTTTTACTTAAGTTGGAGTTCCGATTCGGGACCACGTGCATCCTGTACAGCATTTTTAGCTGATTCCTTTTCCGTTTTCCGTTTCGCTTGCCAAGCGCAGGGCGGCGGTTCGACCCCCCGCCCTGCAACGCTTCTTTGATATTATTTTTGGAAAGCGGATTCGGAATCAGCGAAAAATGCTGTTTGTGTAAGTTGCTTATAAGGGAACCACATCAGGTCGAGGCGGCGGTTCCTGATGGGACCCAGCCTATTTTGTGTATAATTTTTTTGCTGATTTCGAATCCGCTGCTCATTTTTGCCAAATAACTCGTTTTAAAAAGTCGTAGAAGTCGTAGAAAAATAGTATTTAGAAAAATTTTCTCTATCGAATGAGCTATTTAACGCAAAATCGTTCTTTTTTTCAGCTGGAGCTCCACTGGTGCCGCCGCACGCTCACCTACCTGAACGCATTCCGCACCGGCGGCTTCTCGGTGGACTCGTCGGGCGCCTAGTAGCTGATCAACCCAAGTCCCGCACCGATTTCTATAGCTTTTTGCATGTCAATATGCCCCCGTCAATGGCTTCTCCTATTCCGCTTCTACACACCCTCTTTCTGTGATTCCTCGTTCCAAAATGTCGCGGATTCCGGGGTTATTTCCGCCGGTGTGTGCAGAATAAATATTGAATTCCGGGAATGAAAATTTGCACGTGTTGTTACTATACCGGGGGAAAATAAACTTGGCATTCGATGGAATTTGGCTATGGAATAAAATTTTTTCGCGGTTTTCCTCTTTCTTGGCGGCTTGCCCTGGATCTCCGTACCTGTCTGCTAGTCATGAAGGAGGTGTTGAGGGTTTTTTTTAGTTAATTCACGCTTGCTTAGCACGTCCGCACCGGCTACATCGTCTTCGACAGGTTCAAGGCGCTGCCCATGGAGTTGCAACCAGGGTTGGTCACGCTGGATCCTAATCGGATCCGGTCCGGTCCGGGGGTCGGTCCGGTCCGGTCCGGTCCGAAATTTCCATCCGGACCGGACCGGACCTGTCCGGTCCGTGGCGGACCGAGGGGTTTTGATTTGCAAGGAGAAACGGAAATGCAACATGTAAATTCGGATTGCAAAAGAGTGGCGTACGAAAAAATGACGAAATGTGGAATTCGCTTAATCAAAAATGTATAAAATTACTCATTCCCATTAGTTTTTGGCTATATACGCGACGGATAGTAGCATAGATGTGGAAAAATATGTCAAATTCTTGGAGAGTAGTATTTTGCATACAAAATTTTCCATATCTGGCAGCTGAATCATGTCCTATGTGTTCAGCCCGGACCGGACCGGTCCGGTCCGGTCCGGTCCGGTCCGGTCCGAAATTCTCGGATCCACTCGGACCGATCCGGACCGGACCGGACCGCGGACCGTCCGCGGACCGGATCCTTTGTGACCAACCCTGGTTGCAACAAATGATTGGGGTCGAATGAGCCCGTTTGACTGGCGCTCTCTCGCGCATCTGCATCCTGATTTCAAGCTAAAGGGGATTCGGTTCTGGACTGTCAGCGGGGGATTTTTAGCATAACATGAATAACCTCGAACAAGACTAAGAAATCCTCGAATAACACTTAAAAAATCTTCGAATAGCACTAAGGAATCTGTCTTTATATTTTTCATTTTTAACCAGGGTTGAAAAACCGCTTCGCGGCTTTTCAACCCTGGCCCCGTCTAACGCACACATATTTCTTCCCGATCCTTGATTGCAAAAAAAAAGGAAAGGACCCCTCTACCCCCTTATATAAGCTTTCCCCACTTCCGGTGCATGCAAATTGGCTCCTAACAAAGAGATTTTCCGATATCTTTACAAAAACCCAATTTTACTTGCCAAAACAGTAATTTTTCAAAGCTTTGATATGTGTGCACTCATCTCGGCACCATTACGCACCTAATGACGTATCATACGTACCCTAAAAACCTTTCCCTGAGGCTGTAGGTGAGAGACAACCTCACGGAAGTTGCATGCAAATGCACACACACAGACACTATTTTTTTTATATATAGTAGGATTTTAATTTTATTTATTCATTTTTAATTTTCTTTTGAATTGACAATTTAGTTTTTCCCGCCTTAAAAAAAGATTTTAGCGTGCTGCAAATTGTCGAAAATCTCTGACTCTGCTCTCTTTATTGTAACAAATTCGATCCTTGGGAGGCAGCTACTCCGTCATATATTTTGAGCAGTCGGCCGAATTCTTGGTGGTCCGGATGAAGGGGCATTTCTGAAAAAAGGATTGGGTCGAGAGATGGGTGGGAATTTCAAGGCTCTTATTCACCAAGCCCGTACCGGATCCGGACAGGCCAGCGGTAGAGCCGGCACGGAGAGATTGCCCTTGGTCGTCTTTTTGCCTACCTAAAACACCGATCGAAAAAGAATTCTTTACTAGGGTTTTAAGTGTTATTTTGGACAGTTGACGTAACCTACCGGCTCGAGCATGTTCCTCCAAACCCATGTAGCTGTGACGGCATGGCCATATTGAGAAAAGTGGAAGCAGTCGGGGCAGAAGAAGTCCGAATCCACAGTGCCGTTCTGAAAGGAAAGTTTTATAGCGAGGGAGCGAGAGAGAGAGAGAGAGAGAGAGAGAGAGAGAGAGCGAGAGCGCGAGCGCGAGAGAGCGAGAGTGGGAGTGAGAGGGCCGGATTACTGCCTAATTTACCGGATAGCTAGGCGGGTGGATAATCTCATTGGCGAATGGCTGGACGACATATGTGAAATCGTCTTTCTCAAAGATGCCGTCATCCTGTAGTTTTGTCTCTAGCTGTTGATATTCTGTACAAGCGGCCGAGATCATCGCATCGGTGAAGTTCTTGTTCTGTTCACAGCCGCATTCATCTCTGTAAAAAAGATATTTAAGCGATACTTCCTTGGAAAGAATTGGAAAGAAGTGATCGGCCGAAAAAACTTACGTATGCAATGCCAAACAGAACATATTTCCGGTGTCGACCTGGCGAAGGAGTTCAAGGTGAAGCATTGACATCAAGTTCACGATTACCCGCGGCACGTTGTCCTGCAAGAGAAAAAAAAGACCTTTTCTAAAACTCTAGTTATCACTTGTATGTACTGTATTGCTTCCCGGATTTCAGCGACACAGTTCGCAGGGGCGTAGTCCTAAAAGCGGACCCGATTATCGTAAGGGTATAAATTACCGGGCGTCTGCACAACGCACAAATATCATTTCCGCCAATGAAAATGTTGAGCAGCTTCCAATCGTTGGCCATGTCGATTGCCTAATTTTCAGGTTTGGGGCAGCATAGCCTTAGGGTTTTCCCTTTTAGCAAGGGAAGTCAGTTTTTCGCCAATAACCCGGGGCGGCCCTATAACGAAGGATATATTTTTACAGCATTATTCAAATTTTCTTACATTATCAGACATAAAAGACTGATAGAAAATCGGGAAAATCTGGGAAATAAAAAATTCTGAAATTCTATATGTTGATAATTCTAGAATCCTAGTAAATGAAAACTGGCGAGAAAACCATTGAATTTTTAAAACGCAGGTGGAATAGGCCGATAGTTAAAAATTAATTTCGCTTTGCTAAACTGAAAGAACCCCGCACTGTTAGAGAAAAGTTAGAGAGAAAACTCGCATCGGAATGGGCCTTCATCCTGGCGACTAGATCTTTGGCCTGATCCGGTAGATCTTTGGCATGGCCTCCAGGATACGCCAAGTTTAACTGCGCCACCTCCCACACCATTTGCCCACCAATTCCGAGCGAATATCCGAACAGTTTCGGGTTGTACTTCTTGAGAATGTCTGGAAAACGTGTTTGTAACCGCGAAAAAGCCAATCGTTCCTTAAAGGGGCTCCGAACTGCCAAATCAAAGCCCTTTTGGGAGGTCTCTTTCATTTCTGGCAAATTGCCAGCGGGCGCTGCGGGACAAGAGCCCCCACTTTTTCGATTTTTGCGCAAAAACTGTTGTTGCCCGGTTTCTTTGTGAAAACACTATAATTCGCGCATTCTGAGCCCATTCTTGAAATGACAAAAGGCCATGAAATTTGCGAGCTTCCCGCGCCCCTGGATGTGCAGAGGTCTCCCACGTACGGGACTCCAATTTTCGGGCCGTCACTCAATTTTTGGCATTTCGTAGCCCCTTTAAAGGGATACCCAATGTTTCCGCGGCAACTATATACTTATGTATTCCGGGCAGTACAAATGACGCGCGATGCTTGTGCGGCAATGGGAGGCCCACTGTCGCACAAAATTCGGACACCTGTCCCTCTAGTGACGCCCCCCCCATACCGTTCAACTGCTTGCCACTTTGGCCAAATGGATAGCATCCAAGCCTACAAAACGGGGGTCCAGGGTCGATTGGGCATCCCTTTAAGCAAAACATACTTGGGATCGTGACGTGCTGCTCTAGCGATTTGTCCCCGCCCGCCATGAAGGCTAGACCACGATACTGGAGGACGACGGCTAGCGGATCCTCGGCGCCGGCACCATTTGCTGCCTTGGTTTTAGATAGTTGAATGTAAATTTAAAGGTGATTTTCATACCGTAATCGAATCCCCAAGTGCCATTACAACCTTGATGTCGCCCGGGCGGACCGCGTTGACATTTGTGGGAATCTGAAAAACAGCAGTTCAAACATATGAGCTCATTGTGTGCAGAATTTTAAGCTGATCCCGAATGTGTCCACAAAATCTGTAGAATGACAAGATTAACGAAATTATGAAGGTTTTGATGCAAAACCCTAAAAAATTTCGAGAAACTCCGCCATTTTGGGCTTTTTTGGACCTAACAGCGTCGTAACATCTTGTTCTTCTCGGTTCGCAATTTCTAAACACAGATTTAGAATCGGCTCCAAATTCTGCACAAGGTAGGCTTGTCGGAGGCGTTAAAATCTAATTGCCACAAAAACATCTCCTCCTGAGCTTTATAACCACTTTTAGACGAACCTCTATGAAAGGAAATCATTTAATTTATGAATACGAAGAGCCGTATCAGCTTGGAATAACACGTGAAAGATTCCAACCTTTGCACTAGGCTTCATCAGATCTGCTCCACAGTCATAGTTCGGCACGCCGAGGTCCCGCAACGGGTCTCCCCAGCCGCTAAATCACTTTCTTATGATCAAACGTTATTTGAAATTTTCTGAACTAAAAGTTCTGTTACCCGAGCACGACGGTGACCACCCAGCTGAAGAGCACCACTGCGAAAAACATTAAGAAATTATCCGATCCTGAGTTACCTCTGGAAAACATGGCCTGGCCCTCGGGAGAAGTGTGCCAAGTTCTTATCGAAGAGCCGACCAGAATTCATCAAATCAACTCTTATCGGGGGAGGCCCTGCGTTCTTTGCGTGCATTTTTCATTCTTTAGAAACAACGAGAAAATGCGCTAACAAGGGAACCTCAAGTTGGCACGGTGGAATTTCGAAAAACGCTCGCGGCTACCCCTAGGTTTTCGACTATGGCGATTCCAACGCTCTTGTCAGAATTTCCTTAATGGGCCTGTGGACAGAGATACAGCACTTCCGGAAAATGATGATTTACATCCGAAAAATTAGCATTAGCGATAGGTTTATAAGGCTCTCCCCTCACTATGGAATCACCAGTTGAATGGCCGAGTGGTAAGCGACTCACTTGATAGGATACTGACGAGGGTTCGAATTTGCTCGCAATTTTTTATTTTGCTTTTTGACCGGAACGCAATTCACACCAAAAACCTTTTTGATTTTGTGGTTAGTGCATGAGATTTCCATCTAAATTCTTCCTAACGGCCATAATCTTTTCAACTCAACTGTGATGGATCCTAAACACTAAATTGGCCAAGCGAGACATTTTCATTGGTTGTTGGTGGAACCCGGTCACATTGACAGATGTAAAAGCCAGAGTACAGAGACAATTTTAAACCCGCCCCGGGGTTGATAAGAAATCCTGGCCATAGTCAGTGGATTCGTTTGTTACAGCCTGTTGGCATCCAGTGGGGACCAAATCCAAAATTGGGCGAACTCTCTATTTGCATCTTTTTTTAAGGTTTGCATCAAGATCCGAATGGTCGCTCACAAAACTTTGCCATACACAAAATAGTCCATTTATACAAGATTTCTGCTCGCTACATCAAAAGCCAAACACTTGGCTGTACCTTACCGCGCAGTGGCATACAGTGAAGGCCAAATCCAAAATTGTGTGTCGATTCGCATCTTTCTAAGGTTTGCATCAATCCAGACCCGAATTACCTCTCAAAAAACTGCAAGCTACAAAATCGGCCATTTCTAGAAGATGTCGGCCCGCTATTCGGTGCTCCTCGTGCTGGCCCTGATCGTCGTCCATCTCGACACCGTCGATGCCAACAAGTGTTATCACTGCCGCAGCCCCAGCATTCAAAAACCATACGACCCGAAAATGAATTAGTAAGCCGATCGCGACGATTAAATAATTAAAAAACCAATTGTAGCTCGCTTATCGGCGAGCCGATCCATCCCAAATGCGAGGAAGGCAGCACGGTACGCAAACATTTTTTGGAATCTGGTTCTGGTTCGTTAGCGGGGGGAGGGGGCGGGGCGGGGGCGGGATAGCGGGAGGAGAAATTTAATGGGGGGGGGGCTGATATCGTAAATTTTTCAATATAGCACTATTGTTCGAGGACTAAATCATAGCGAACCGGTAGAACATCAAAACATATACTTAGAATCTTGGTGCTAGTTCAAACAACTATAAATTAAGAAGATTCTAACAAAAGCAAAAATAACGCTGAAAATGAGAAGAGCCCCAGCTAAGCCTAAGCGTTCTGTGCTCAAAAAGTGCTGATCGGTTACGGTGTTTTAGAGAACTAAGTAAGTTCGCACTTTAGGAACTGATGACGTGCGAGGGCGCTTATTGCGGCATGCGGGTTGAAAAAGACTACGAGGGCGAGGAGTCGATTTGGAGGGGTTGCACCCCGTACACTCCCAGCGATGGCTGCACAATCCCGGCGGTTCTGAAAAAAGGTCAGTTTGGTCGCGGGTATCGGTCTAAAGTGTGCCCAAAATTCACCTCTTCCTAGCGGTTTTCCGAATATTGTTTACTTTACTTTACTTTAAGTCCTATTAATGCGCTGAGTATTTCAAAATGTTCGCCGTGGGCGGAAACCTCTAAAAAAGTTGTTTACTTGCGCCAAAAATTGTTAAAAAAATTATATAACAATTATAAGTCTGGGTTTTCTTCAGCTAATTTTTGTTGTTCCAAAATGAGTTTACGTATCTCGGCCATCTTTAGTCGTACAGAGCTGTCAATAATACCAAAATGTAGCTCTTGCTCTGGAGAATAAGCCTACAGTGCATTTGAGTCAAATATTTGCGTTTGAGACTCCTGGTACATTGAAGCATAACGACCAGGGTTGGTCATTTTGCGTCCCGTCCCCGTCCGTCCGCGTCCGGACGGGGACGCGGGACCGTCACCCTAATTTGCATAAAATTAGGGGACGGACGGGGACGCGTCCGGGAAGGGACGGACGGACAGACGGGGGACGGGGTGACGGTCAGCGTCACCCCGTCCCCGATGCAAATGCCGAAATGCAAATGGTTTTCCTACCAGTAATTATTTCGGGTCTCCTTCTCGTTGCTTTAGGGGAGTCAAAAATACATGCAACTCAGGCCAAGCTGGAAGTTCTACCTAGATGGCGTCGGCGCTGCAGATAATCACCATTTTTTCGGAATTTGCTACAGAGCTTAAAAATTCGAGATATTCAAGTTAGAAAGCAACTGGTTAATTACTCTACGTGCTAGGTTATAAGCACTTCATCGTAATCATGCTATCCGCGTTTTGTAGCTTGCTCTGCGAAATTCTAAACCCAGCCGATGCGTGATTTGAATGCCATTACTTTATCCCCGTAATTTGCATCGGGGACGGGGACGCTGCCCCGTCACCGTCCGTCCCCACCGTCCCCGTCCCGTCCCCGTCTGTCCCCATTTCGGGATGCAAATTAGGGGACGGGGACGCGTCCCGTCCGTCCCTGAACAACCCTGATAACGACTTAATCTTTTCAACTTTCAAAATCTTGTAAAAAATTTTTTTAACAATTTTTGGCGCAAGTAAACAACTTTTTTCGAGGTTTTCGACGACGGCAAACATTTGGAGATACTCGGCGCATTAATAGGACTTATGGCTAAGGAGCTGGGCCCAGGGGAGCGGGGGTAAACTGCACTTAAGCCTAAAATTTATATATTGGATTCATTAAAAAACATCAAACGCTTTAATGCTTTCGTTTCTAGGGTTTGGCGTGTATTGCATTTGTGCGGGAGATCTGTGCAACGTCTGGGACGTGACCAAGATGAGGCCACAGGCGTCGTCCACCCGCTCGCTGCTCCACCTCATCGCCATCCCCGTCGTCGCCGCCTACATGATTACCCATTTCTGAAGCCTATTTGAGTATAGTTGTGAATAAACATCTGCCATTGACTCACGCTTCAGAAACCGTATTTGCACGCGAAAATCCAGAATTCCGAACGGAGATGCGGAAACCGAAAACGGACTGCTTTCCGGCGGCTTCAATCGCGGTAATGGCTGCCCTCAAATTTGGTTCTTTTGCGTTATCGGGGGAGGGGGATATTTCACTATAAATTATAGAATAGAATTAAGCAGTGGGTTTCTGATTTATTACCCCAATTGGGGTAATACATCAGAA